GCCAGTCATCCTTCGGCAAACAGCCGCAAAAGTAAACGGTCACAAACATTCCAAAACAACCTTAGCTCAGAAGTTACCTTCATCAGAAGAAATCCCGTAATCACTCTGATCGCCGGCTATTACTGCGGTCACAATCGGCTTCGCGGCTTCATTGGAAATGTCGGTGCCAAAGTCGCGACCATCGCCGACAGTGTTTGTTGGCTTCTCGATGTTCATGGACTTGCTATATGTGACAGAGTTATTAATCTTGCCTGTCACAGGCTTCGCCGAACGACCAAGCCGCCGCCTCACTGTTGACCGCTTTGTCATTTTCCGCTGTTCAGCCGAATTCTTATTCGGTGTAGACACATGACTCAATTTTTGCTTTTCCATATTTTCTTTACAATTTTTACGCTTCGATGTTGCTCGGGATAAAGAATCGTCATTTCTAATAAAATCTGACAGAAACTTCCTTTGAAGCGGAGGCAAATACGTTTGAGCGCCGTAAAACCGACTCGCCGGCAGCATCCTTACAAGACAACTATCCACAACTCTTTTTCCTGGCGCCAAATGTTACAACAATTAAACGTGCGGATCAAATTATATATTCAAATTAATTTTATTTACTGTAGCAATATTATTTCTATGTACATATGAACGGAGAAATGTTAAAACTTTTACTGCATAAGTATATCATCAATTAATTGAAAACTCTTCGCAAATCAAATATGGAATGAATATTAGAGAATTGAAATGACAAATAAAATGACAAGCAAAACTAGAAGCAAAACAATCATGGTCGAGGTACTGCGCAAAAGTGCTGTTCAATTTTCTTCAGTGCCATAATCTTCGAAAAAATTTTTAGTCATGAGTCGAATCGATAATTAAACTCTAATGTATGCCTAAAAATTTGTTTTTATTCGATGATCCACGATGGCAAAAAACTGATGAATTCATAAAATGACAATCGCACGTCTCGGTCAAATTTGGTGTCAACTAAAGCATTCTTGAATTTAGCAAAAATGCCTTTTTAACGCTGACATGCTGTTGTCCCATGACAATACTGTAGTTAAACTCTGCAGTACTTTCCAACCAGCTGTGTCAAGAGTTATATTGATGCATCAGGTAAAATGTCCTTCAATTTGTGTAACATTAATATGTATGATATTTTTTGTTTTTTGTAATTAATGCCATATCTAAACACCATTTCCCTATGTGTTTCTGTTATTTTAGTATATCAGCCGGATCTGATAGATTTTTTCGTCACTTTAGACTTTCGGACTTCAGTGTAGAGGCTGGCTTTCACCGTATCGCAAAACAACAGCGTGAAGCCGTTACGCGCAAAGCGTGCTTCCGGTACCACCAGGAAAACAATATCTTCTGCATACTCTTGTTCTGTAGTACATTTTGTTTCTTATCTTACGCTGTGCTTTTTCTTTAGAATTAATCATTTGTTTTTGGCAGAATCAGTACTGCTTCGGAGAAGAAAGTCACTAATAACGGTGAATGGCAAGGACAAAGCATGTTTTCCCTGGCCTACCCCGCTGATCATTGAGAACGATCAGGCAGTAATCTTAGACTTGACTGTAGGTATGGTTCTTGTATAAATTTCTTCAAAAGTTGCAAGGTCGTGTCAAAGTGACCTATGGCATCTTAAGATTCTCCACATCGTTTGGGCGAAGTATTGAAAAAAGTACAGCCTTGAAGTCGAGGAAGCGAGACTCAAGGCAACTGGAATCGTAATTAATAGGGAAGTAATAAATTTTTTATTGCATATATGTATAGTAAAATGCACTTTTATTGTAATATAAACAGGAAGATTAATTGTTAAACAAACTGTTCAAGTGGCAAAACAAAGCTAATTTTATGGTGCAAAGAAATAATCTTGAACGCAATTTACTACCGCTTACTTTAAAGTGAACAGAACATTACTACCATAACCTAACGTCAGTTTCAATACCATTAGCACGGCTCGAAGCTTTTATTCCCTTTCGATGCCGCGATACTGTATACGACGTTTAGCGTTAATGTATCAGATACCGTGAATTCGTTTAAAAACATGATTACAGTTTATGTCGTGCATTCGAAAAGAGAAGTTTTGAAGTTCGGTCATTTCTTAGTACTTCGATTGTAATGATCGAACTTCACCGAATACTGTTTATCGTACAGCGTATAATTCCTCGTTGATC